GCTGGAAATGTAATCCAGATACAATTCGACCATAAAGCTTGATTATTTGAATAAAAAAGTTTTTTTTGTCATTTCCCAATTTTAATATACTTAACGTTGCAGAAACGATGTCATAACTGCTTAGATGGCCATGTGAGCAACGCTGCCATAAAGAGTAGTCGGATATCGCAACATATCTCAGATAATTGGTTTTTCAGAGAAAAAGAGCGTCAAATTTTCGAACTGTGTTAAGGTTTGGCTCATGTCTTCATCGGTCCAACTAAAAATACCATCGTCGAAAGTAAAACAACACAGATTATGCACTTTTTCTTAGACCTAATGCTTCTTGTTCATCCTTTTCTGGGTTTTGGCAAATCGTAATTTCCTTGCTTAATTGACCATGTGAAAATGCCTTCAGATAAATTTTACGTTTTTTTGAAAAACAGCAGGCATTGCAGGCAGAAAGCGCAGTTTTGAACCTTAGTTTGCATTTCATACAGTTTTCAAAAAAATTACTTTATGCACGTTTATCAGAATTTTACTTCCAAAAAAAAATCCAGAAAATGATATCAAGTGACCGTTATTATATGCTGAGTTTGAAAATGTGTGTTGTGAATTAGCTCTTTTTCTTTTTACGCCTGTGATTTTCGGAGTAATCAACCTTGCCATTGTAGGCACTTTCTGAAGTCTCTCCCGATATGAACTGAGGTATTTTAGCTCATAATTTCCTCGATATCAATCAAGGCGAAATGCATAAGTTCTGATACAGTCTCTAAAAAAGAATCGAAAGATGTATGACATTTCAAGAAATTTCGAGTACTAACTTAGTTATGGAGCAAAACAAAAAACGCGAGTCCGCTTTTTTTTCAACAAATATTATTGTGGTTACTGTATTTGCTCGTTCAAACTTTTTCCACTTTGCTTCGGTTAACCTTGAGATTTTGTACATACAGTTGTTGGTTACACATATTTTTTAATGCAATACAAAGCTAGAATACACCAGTCTTTTCAAACTTCTATATTGACCCGATAGTGAGCTTCTGAAACGATTTTCTATAAGAGGGTGCGAATTGTAGTGATAGAGTTTATTCACTTCTTTAATGTTTTGCCACAGCTTTCTTCCGACCAGTTTTTACACTCCATGTGGATCTTCTCGGACAAGGGCAATACAGCGAATCGGATCCAGGCGTTCCAGGCTGTCCAGGCACACCGGGAGCTCCAGGAGGACCACCAGCTCCATTCTCGCCAGGTGGACCGTTCTCACCAGCTTGGCCAGGAGGACCAATTGGTCCTGGTCTGCCAGGTTCTCCATTGATCCCTCTGTTGCCAGGCATTCCGGGCTGTCCCGGTGGGCCTGCGGGCCCAACTCCACCTTCTTCGCCATCTCTTCCTGGCTCACCAGGTTTTCCGGGAATTCCAGGTGGACCGGGACTTCCAGGGTTACCGGCATTTCCTTAAAAAAGTGAAAAATATGTCTACATTGATGAGAAAGAACAAGTGCAAAAGTTGAAAAGATCACTGCTAATTTTTTAATAGAGACATCATACATTGGTACGTGTGGGTGAACATCAAAGCAAGGTATTTTAATGAGGACACCTTAAATCAAGACCACGTGGTCTTTTTAAGTCACTCATAATTCATTGTCAAATCATGGGTCGACTCGTCTATTCCTCTCTCTTCGTAATAGTTTGAATTACTGTCGTTTTCATTCAAAGTGTCACTCCGTTTCAATTCAATTCTCATACTTTTTCTTAAAACCCCTTCTTCTACCTTCCCGTGATTTGCTGTATCAAAGATTTTTTTGCATACCTGGAGGTCCTCTCTCGCCAGGTGGT